TTTTGACTTCCTCGATCGAGCCACCTAAAGGAGCGTTGCCAAAACAAACAAATATTTCGTGCAGGAAACCGGAAAGTGTGTACACAAAAGAAAGGTGTGTGTGCATAGGAGAGAGAGAGAGAGAGAGAGAGAGAGAGAGAGAGAGAGAGAGAGAGAGAGAGAGAGAGAGAGAGAGAGAGAGAGAGAGAAGGACACAATCGGTTCATTATGTAACTTCTCTAGAATCGAGCTGAGGATAATCAGATGATAAAAAATTGTTTACATTCTGAGAAGGGAAAATTTGATATTTATCCACGGTTTTGTATGGAAAACCTTGAAAATATTTCACAGGTAAATAAAGTGTAGTAAAATAAAAATGTGATAAGTTGAAATATAAAAAGGGGTTAAAAATTAAAGATCTCAAAATACATCCAAACATATTGATATGTACAAATATTTCTAAGAATGTAATTTTTTGGGAGGTAGTTAAGGAATTATATCTAGTTTGGTAGACAACAACTTATTCAAATTTAATTAAATTTATCAATTAGGAATTATGTTTTTTATTTTTAAATTGCTCTGTTGGAAATAAAATATTAAAAAAAAAAAATACAAATTTCTCTAATAAATTGAAACAAATTTAATTATCTGAAGTCTTGAAATACTAAGAAAAAATTAAAAAAAAATGGAATATAAAGCAACAATTCACAATGTAGCTTAATTTTTCAAATTTAATTATATTATTTTTTAGTTGTTCGAAGGGAAATTTAATTACAGGTGATAAAATTTTAATGGTCAATGTTTTTCCTTTGAAATAAAAGGTCATTAGTCTTTTATAAAACGCAAACGTTAGCCGAGTTCAAGAAACGTATAAATTCTCCAGAGATAACCCACAAAAAATGTCACAACTCAAATTAGCGCGATTTCTTAAAGCATCCAGTGAAAATTCCCGCACAAAATTGCCGCATTCTTAAGATCATTCATTCAACTATATACCTTTGCCAAACGACGTGTGAAACCTCCTTTCCTCTTTCTAAATTTTCGTTGCTGTCCAAAGTAAAAAAATTATATAAAATAAAATATATTTTAATGTTGGCTCAATTCCACCCGCCGTTTTTCTCGCGTCTTTTCGACTCATCAGAATTCATGGGAGATCGAATTGCATTCATTCAAATTCCTCAAGCCCGCGCGCTAAAGAAAGCAGCCTGATTAATAAATTTGCTGGCGAACCCATTGTTCTTTCGGGAGCAAAGGAAATGGGTTCGAGGTTCACCAGCAGCCACGGTGGCGGTCCTTTTCTTTATTGTTTTCGCACTGGCTGGCTGGAGTCGCGCCAAGGCACCCAAACCGCGGCACGTACCATTCAAGAGAGATCGATTGATTGATTTGCGAGAGACTGCCTCGCCGGCAAATGAATGACCCGCGACAGGACACACCGATTGCCGTCCGTCCGCTCATTACTCATTGCGACAATTGCCTCTCATCGACATACATACAAGTTCTCGCGGCGACTGCCAAAATATTTTCACTGCTAGCACATCACAGTTGGCCACAGGAGAAGAAAAAGAATTGAAAAAGTGTTTTGCTTCCATAAATAAAACATAAGATTTACATTTTGCTCCTTTTTTAAATTAAGATAGATTTTTGTTTCATTATTACAGGAAAATGCAGTGGCAAAATTCCATCTAGATTTTAAAATAAATTATTTTACATTATGCAAAAGTCTCCGTGGGCCATTTTTAAAAAGAAATGGGGGTTGGAAAGCAAGAAAATAAATAGTTTTGCTAAAAGAGACTTCAGTCTTAATTTTTAGAAGAATTAAATTGAAGTACAAATTTAAATTTAAAACGCAGTTTTTAAAGAATTTATACAAATAATTGCCACGAGAAAAAATTCTCCAGGCAAAATTTTTCTTTCATATTTCCATAAAGAATAAAAATAATTCTGATAAAAATCTATTGTTTCCTGTTTTTACCTCCAGGCAACGCTGTTAAAAAGCAATAAACTTCAATAAAATCCTCCAGAATAGGGAAAATGGAACCAGCTTATAGGGGTCTAGCCTCAAGAATTTTTCGCAACGTTTTTTTCCGCTTTCCACGCAATAAATCTCTGGCACCAGGTGTTGTATCTAATTTTAAGATCTGATCAAATCAAATCTGATATATAAATTCCAGAAAAAGCACATTTAATTTTATTAGTATGGCTACATCCCGCATTAAATTATGCCTTAGAAACGGCCGCCTAAATGAGTTCGCCAACACCTTTGATTATATATTTATTTATCTTGTTTTCCTCGCCCAGCAGTAGGTCGCAATAACGCGAACCTCATTAATTTCGGTCGATACAAAGGCGAGAATTGGTCGATTTTATCTGAGCAGGCGAATAGAGACGCAGCCACACAAGATTTATTGGCATCCATAAAATGTAAACCGAAATTCCACCTTTGGCCTTTTTTGTAAGAATTCGTCCACGAATATTTTCACTTTCGTGAGAGAACTCTCTGTGAAATTAAAAAAAATCCATATGCACACCAACTCCGGCATGACGCAAAAATCTCTGTAGGCTGACAGATATGATAATTTTTTATTACGCACACATCGAGTGACGACGACGACGACAGGAGTCAGTCACTGAGTCAATGCCCCCGGCGTGCGAATTCTTGTGTGTTAAAATTGTGCGTGCACATCTTCCCTGTGGGCCTTTGGCGTCAGTTAAACTTTGTTAGCAAGTCTGATGCTGGACCAAAGAAAAACGTTGGAGTGCTTTGATTAAAAGGTCGCTGCTTCTTCTCCAAAAGTAGTAATTGCTCTGCGAGAACCAGTTTTGCACGCGGATAAACCCGAAAGCATCAATTTTCATGCAAGCCAAAATTTAGCCATGTGATCTTTCGCACTCGGCGACCTTCAAAAGCAGAATCCATTTGCACGTTTCAACGCGAAAATTAGCTGAAATTTGCTCAAATTTATTGACCATTGCTGCACCTTTGGCACAAAGGGGCTCCTAACGAGCCAAATAAAAAAGTCGATGGATTTTACATTTCAATATTGTTGGTGTAATTTAACCGGAGAAGATATGTTTTCTAATGGGAGCAAATTTATATTTCGTCACTTCCAAATGGTCGTTCTGACCTTGGCTACCGTGTTCCTTTAACTATCTATTCGACAAATCAAAAACAAACGATGTTTTGGTCTCCTAAACGTGTGTAATTTATTAGAAAAAGATCAACGGAAGCCATAAAAGGAGGTGTAAGTCTGTCTCTAGATTAAAATCAATGATCAATTTGTAATAAAAAACTTGCCAGAGTTAATTGTTTCCCATTTTTAAATATAATTAAATAAATAAAAATTATATATTTTTTTTAGAAAGAATTAACTGGAGCTAACTATTCCGGCACATAAACTACTTTTAGAAACTGTTGTTTGAGACTGGCGATCAAGACTTAAAAGCCATATGCAAGCACTCCAGTTTTACGATCAAGGAAAATGCATAATTGTGATAATAAAAAAAAATTATGAACCTCACTAATCTTAAAATATTCTCAAGCGTATTCAAATTACATGAGACAAAATGACAAAATACTAACATAAACTAAAGGATTCGCTTCGTCGTCCACAACATCTTATTGAAAGTTGAGTTTTTGTGCAACCCGCAATTATTTTTAACGACTTAAGAAACTTAAGAAGACTTCAGTAAATAACTGAATTAACAGAGAATAAAGCTTTCATATAATTCTCATAATAGGAATAATAATAATAATAGGAATAAAATAATTAATATTATAAATTTTTTGTCTGAAAAAAAGAATAAATTACGTTTCAATCTTGTATTTCCCTATTTTTTTGCATGCAGTTTCCAAAGAGGAAGTGATGAGTGAAAGCTGTTAAGAAATTCGATTCCTATGATTTCTACTGGATATATTTAGTTTTTTCAATAACAAAACAACTGCAAGTACCACATCAAATGTAGGTCGTTTATTTAATGGAGCTTAAAATTTTTATACATCGCATGCAACTATATTCGGAATGAAACCTGCAAAAATTCACCGCCGTCCAAATCCTCTTTCATGTTGTATGGTACGTTACTAACGAATTACGACGAAAAAATAAACACGTGTGAAAAAGCTCATTTTTGCGGTTTCGTTCGATGACTGATTAATAAAGTCTGTGAACGAAGAGGAACCGCAAAGGGTCGAAAACCTCCTCGGGTCGACAAAGGACAGAGCTAGGTGTGCTGTGTGTGTTTAATGTAACGAGTTTGTTTGTTTTCTTCGTGTCGGAATGCCTGCGTTACGTGAGACACTTACCAACAGGCCCAATATATAATGCAGAGGCGCCGAGAACACGAGCATTAGTTTTCTTCTTCATTCATTCATTGAGGCGGAGGAAAAGTGTCGCTCTCAAGACCATTGAGAAACCTAGCTTTATAAATATGCAGTAGTGCGCTGCTAGTTCGCAGTTATTTTTGGGCGCGAGCGAAATTTCAAATTAAAAGCGCACTTAATTCGTCTTGCTGTTTGGATGTCGAGGGTGTCCGACAATCCGGTGTCGTTGACTCTGCGCTGAATTTTAAATTCGGCGAGAGTGCGGTCGCGCCGCGCGCGGATGTGTAATTGATGGCATAAGAGGGTCAGAAAGGGTACGCACATGTTGATTTAGCTCTTTGTCGTGGAATTTTACGACCTGGGACGCCGTTTTTTGCTCTTTATTAAGTTTTTCTGTGTGGATAAAGAATATTAATATATTTATTGGGCCATAAAAATATTATCTCACAAAATTAATGTGACTGGAAAGATTAACATTTCAGTCAAAAATTTTACTCAAAGAAAAATAATTTTATTGCTTCATTTTGAGAAAAGTATTTTATTTTTTAATGTCTTATATTGGAATTTTCAAAGCTTCGAGATCCCACTTCAAGGATTTCTGATCCCTTCACATATATATTTGCAAACAAGATCTTTAAGTTTAAAGACAAGACACAAGATAAAGATAAAACTTAAATGATAATTATAATTAAATTTAGATTTATTATTGATTTCGACCAGCAATTCATGACGTTGTACACATTTGTGTTTAATAAAGACATTAATAAACAAGATCTTTGCGTAATAAGCGGATATCATTACAATTTTTTTCAACATTCAAAATTAAGTTTACGTTACTTTAAACCTTCAAACTCATCAATTTTGTTTGGAAGTGAGTAAAACCAGGGTTTCTGTGCATGAATAAGCCAAGATTGAGCAAAATTTTCCTCGCGAGCAGCATTGGGCACTTCTTACGTGAACATATCCCGTAGAAAGTGGCAACCTGATTTATTATTGATTATAACACGAAATTCAGATAAGAAGAACACTTTCTATAGATATATAAATTTTTTTTTTAAAATATGCCATTTGTTAAATTGGGAAAAAGAAAAACAGCCATGTCAACACAACATAATAATATTAAGCAACTTAGTTTAAATTGCAAGAGGTTCTTAGGTAGATGGCGCGCTGGACAAAACTCAGGCCATTCAGGTCTATGCCCTTTCAAAAGGCCAGATCAACTGACGAATCCTCTCTAAGATCAAGCCGGTCCAGACTGCCAGCATCTCCAGCCAGTTGCCAAAAGCGCCTCCATCTGGAACTTCGTCTTCTTCGCCATCGTCTTCAACTGCAGGTTGCGGCTGCCGGATCTGAATGGCGTAGAGGTAGTGCAAAGGGGCATCCCTTCCTGAAAGCACCATATAAATGAAAAGTTTTATGATTTTTACTTTCTCAATTTTAATTATACTCTGGCCAATGTGAGGCACAAATCCGTTGAAAATGGCAGCTGCAAACTTATCACAAGATGACAGCTCCTCCAATTTTCCAGCCTTGATGATGTCTGCAGCTTTGGTAGAGAGATGGCGAGTACTCAACGGAGAGCCAGGTGGAGGCTGAGCGAACCTGACCCCAATCACTGCTGTGGTCTTTGCTTGCAGGAGTCTAGTGTAGAGGGCTTTCGAATGCCGCTCGATTTCTGTGAAGTGATAATGATAAATTAAATTTCCAGGCATTTAAATTTAATAATTTTTATCATACGCTCGTCGGGGTTTGGCCGGTCGTGCAAGAAGAGGCGCACCGTGTAGAGTCCTCTTTTGTCTGAAAGGCTTTGAACCTGGGAAGGCCCAACTTGCGGACCCAGCTGAAGAGATTCTTTTAGTTGCACGCGCTTCTCGCGGTTCAAGATCGCGGCTGGTACTCTTTGCACTCCTTGCATTGCGCCTGATCTGCTGGTTTAATTAAGAAAAAGGTCTGAATTTCTAAATTCGTTACTCTTTTAAAATCTTTTGATGAACTTATTTGAATGAACGCAACACCAAATAATTTATCCAACAAATAAAGAATTCTCTTATTGTTGCTTATTTGAAAAAAAAAATCGTTGCTCCCACCGCTATCTTTGGTTCTGTTATTATTTTCAAAATTTGCCGCATGACAACAATAAGAGAAAAATATGTTGATTGTTGCCAAAAGCGTTCTCATTTGGGGCAAAAAGCCAATCAATACATGGACACAAACTTAGCTCTAACAGACTCCGTTTTGCGGAGTCTGTTAAACCCGCTCCGCTGCACTAACCTGCACTCGGAGAACAAAAAACAGCGATTCAATTAGACCCTCCGGCAGTCGCTGCGGCCAAAGCGGGTCTGTTTGACTTCTCACGCGGTGTCCGCTGTTTTCGCCAGCTGCCTCAGTCGACGATTCGGCCTATTTAGGGCCGAATTTCGACCTAAATCTTTGCCGCGGCAACACATGCACTTGTAAACAAAGTCAGTCATAACCAATCATAATTCGATTGTTTTTTGGCGTAAACACGGGAGATAAGAAATGCAACCCGACAAAGTGCCCAGTGAAATTAAATAATAAAAACAAATTCAGCTTCTGATATGACGACCTTATTCATTTTTGGGGGCCCAAAAGACGATGAAATTTGAGTAATTCGGGGATGAGGAAACTTGTGGTGTGATTAATTTTGTGATCCGAGTGGCCAGTGGCCGTTATTGCGCTATGAGCATAAATACGCGCCAGCCTCTACTTGTTGCTTTCCTCGACTCTCTCTCTATCACTCCACGGCTGCACTCGCGGCGGAGAGCGGCGCGCTCAATTCATTAGACGATTGCGCGAATTTAATATTTAATTAGTTGGCGTCGAGATAAATCTTTCAAATTTTCAGCAGTGGTAGCCAAGTAAGTCAAATAATTTATTATTTTTTATTCTTAAAAAAATATTAATTTGGAGCAAAGTTATTAACGTTTTTTTGTTTTTTATTTTTTAAATTAGAGGAAAAATTTAAAAAATACAAACCCTTACAGAAAATTGCAGCTAATTAACAATTTATTCTGCAGACATTTTGTTGTCAATTTTTTTTTTATTTACCAACGGGAGGACCAAAGTCAAAATATTACTTTTTCTCATTGAACAAATTTTTTTAACATTTTTTCTGAGAGCCAATCGATTGGAAATTTAAGTTAAGATCAAAATCTTAGGACTCATATTTCATCAAAGTAATTGTGTTGAGCCGTTTTTAAATAACAAAGTACTAACTGATGCCACCTAAAACTGCCGTCAAGCCGATTAGCAAGTTTTAGTCCATATGCTTTTACTTCAAAACGGCTCAGCATATTTTGATGAAATATGAGTCATAAGATTAAAATGAAATTTCCAATCGATTGACTATCTCAGAAAATATAAAAAAAAAATTGTTCAATGAGAAAAAAAATATTTTGACTTTTTGGTCCTACCGTTGGTTAATAAAAAAAATTTGACAGCAAAATGTCTGCAAAATGAATTGTTAATTAGCTGCAATGTTCTGTATGGTTTTGTATTTTTAAAATTTGTCCTCAATAAAAAAAAATTAAAAAAAAACCTTGAAAACTTTGCTCCAGATTAATATTTTTTTAAGAATAAAAAATAAAAAATTATTTCACTAACTTGGCTACCACTTCTAAATGAGCGCTATTGATTTGTCAATGTCAAATTTAGGACTTTAAGTTTGAACGTTTTATTTACTTTGTCCATCAGACCTGGAGAAACAAAACAAATTTCTACACACATTCCCAAACACCGAAATATAGCGAGCGCTATATTTTTGTCAAATTAAGGTCTATAAGTTTGAACGTTTATTATTTTAGTCCATCAGACCAGGAGAAACAAAACAAATTTCTACACACATTCCCAAACACCGAAATATAGCGAGCGCTATATTTTTGTCAAATTAAGGTCTATAAGTTTGAACGTTTATATTTTTAGTCCATCAGACCTGGAGAAACAAAACAAATTTCTACACACATTCCCAAACACCGAAATATAGCGAGCGCTATATTTTTGTCAAATTAAGGTCTATAAGTTTGAACGTTTATTTTTTTAGTCCATCAGACCAGGAGAAACAAAACAAATTTCTACACACATTCCCAAACACCGAAATATAGCGAGCGCTATATTTTTGTCAAATTAAGGTCTATAAGTTTGAACGTTTATTATTTTAGTCCATCAGACCAGGAGAAACAAAACAAATTTCTACACACATTCCCAAACACCGAAATATAGCGAGCGCTATATTTTTGTCAAATTAAGGTCTATAAGTTTGAACGTTTATATTTTTAGTCCATCAGACCTGGAGAAACAAAACAAATTTCTACACACATTCCCAAACACCGAAATATAGCGAGCGCTATATTTTTTGTCAAATTAAGGTCTATAAGTTTGAACGTTTATTTTTTTAGTCCATCAGACCTGGAGAAACAATACAAATTTCTACACACATTTCCAAACACCGAAATATAGCGAGCGCTATATTTTTGTCAAATTAAGGTCTATAAGTTTGAACGTTTATTTTTTTAGTCCGTCAGACCAGGAGAAACAAAACAAATTTCTACACGAATTCCCAAACAGCGAAATATAGCGAGCGCTATATTTTTGTCAAATTAAGGTCTATAAGTTTGAACGTTTATATTTTTAGTCCATCAGACCCGGAGAAACAAAACAAATTTCTACACACATTCCCAAACACCGAAATATAGCGAGCGCTATATTTTTGTCAAATTAAGGTCTATAAGTTTGAACGTTTATTATTTTAGTCCATCAGACCAGGAGAAACAAAACAAATTTCTACACACATTCCCAAACACCGAAATATAGCGAGCGCTATATTTTTGTCAAATTAAGGTCTATAAGTTTGAACGTTTATTTTTTTAGTCCATCAGACCTGGAGAAACAAAACAAATTTCTACACACATTCCGAAACACCGAAATATAGCGAGCGCTATATTTTTGTCAAATTAAGGTCTATAAGTTAGAACGTTTATTTTTTTAGTCCATCAGACCTGGAGAAACAATACAAATTTCTACACACATTTCCAAACACCGAAATATAGCGAGCGCTATATTTTTGTCAAATTAAGGTCTATAAGTTTGAACGTTTATATTTTTAGTCCATCAGACCCGGAGAAACAAAACAAATTTCTACACACATTCCCAAACACCGAAATATAGCGAGCGCTATATTTTTGTCAAATTAAGGTCTATAAGTTTGAACGTTTATTTTTATAGTCCATCAGACCCGGAGAAACAAAACAAATTTCTACACACATTCCCAAACACCGAAATATAGCGAGCGCTATATTTTTGTCAAATTAAGGTCTATAAGTTTGAACGTTTATTATTTTAGTCCATCAGACCTGGAGAAACAAAACAAATTTCTACACACATTCCCAAACACCGAAATATAGCGAGCGCTATATTTTTGTCAAATTAAGGTCTATAAGTTTGAACGTTTATTATTTTAGTCCATCAGACCAGGAGAAACAAAACAAATTTCTACACACATTCCCAAACACCGAAATATAGCGAGCGCTATATTTTTGTCAAATTAAGGTCTATAAGTTTGAACGTTTATTATTTTAGTCCGTCAGAGCAGGAGAAACAAAACAAATTTCTACACGAATTCCCAAACACCGAAATATAGCAAGCGCTATATTTTTGTCATATTAAGGTCTATAAGTTTGAACGTTTATTATTTTAGTCCATCAGACCTGGAGAAACAAAACAAATTTCTACACACATTCCCAAACACCGAAATATAGCGAGCGCTATATTTTTGTCAAATTAAGGTCTATAAGTTTGAACGTTTATTTTTTTAGTCCATCAGACCAGGAGAAACAAAACAAATTTCTACACACATTCCCAAACACCGAAATATAGCGAGCGCTATATTTTTGTCAAATTAAGGTCTATAAGTTTAAACGTTTATATTTTTAGTCCATCAGACCTGGAGAAACAAAACAAATTTCTACACACATTCCCAAACACCGAAATATAGCGAGCGCTATATTTTTGTCAAATTAAGGTCTATAAGTTTAAACGTTTATATTTTTAGTCCATCAGACCCGGAGAAACAAAACAAATTTCTACACACATTCCCAAACACCGAAATATAGCGAGCGCTATATTTTTGTCAAATTAAGGTCTATAAGTTTGAACGTTTATTTTTTTAGTCCATCAGACCAGGAGAAACAAAACAAATTTCTACACACATTCCCAAACACCGAAATATAGCGAGCGCTATATTTTTGTCAAATTAAGGTCTATAAGTTTGAACGTTTATTTTTTTAGTCCATCAGACCTGGAGAAACAAAACAAATTTCTACACACATTCCCAAACACCGAAATATAGCGAGCGCTATATTTTTGTCAAATTAAGGTCTATAAGTTTGAACGTTTATATTTTTAGTCCATCAGACCAGGAGAAACAAAAGAAATTTCTACACACATTCCCAAACACCGAAATATAGCGAGCGCTATATTTTTGTCAAATTAAGGTCTATAAGTTTAAACGTTTATATTTTTAGTCCATCAGACCCGAAGAAACTAAACAAATTTCTACACACATTCCCAAACACCGAAATATAGCGAGCGCTGTATTTTTGTCAAATTAAGGTCTATAAGTTTGAACATTTATTATTTTAGTCCATCAGACCTGGAGAAACAAAACAAATTTCTACACACATTCAAACACCGAAATATAGCGAGCGCTATATTTTTGTCAAATTAAGGTCTATAAGTTTGAACGTTTATTTTTTTAGTCCATCAGACCCGGAGAAACAAAACAAATTTCTACACACATTCCCAAACACCGAAATATAGCGAGCGCTATATTTTTGTCAAATTAAGGTCTATAAGTTTGAACGTTTATTTTTTTAGTCCATCAGACCCGGAGAAACAATACAAATTTCTACACACATTCCCAAACACCGAAATATAGCGAGCGCTATATTTTTGTCAAATTAAGGTCTATAAGTTTGAACGTTTATTATTTTAGTCCATCAGACCTGGAGAAACAAAACAAATTTCTACACACATTCAAACACCGAAATATAGCGAGCGCTATATTTTTGTCAAATTAAGGTCTATAAGTTTGAACGTTTATTTTTTTAGTCCATCAGACCCGGAGAAACAAAACAAATTTCTACACACATTCCCAAACACCGAAATATAGCGAGCGCTATATTTTTGTCAAATTAAGGTCTATAAGTTTGAACGTTTATTTTTTTAGTCCATCAGACCCGGAGAAACAATACAAATTTCTACACACATTCCCAAACACCGAAATATAGCGAGCGCTATATTTTTGTCAAATTAAGGTCTATAAGTTTGAACGTTTATTTTTTTAGTCCATCAGACCTGGAGAAACAATACAAATTTCTACACACATTTCCAAACACCGAAATATAGCGAGCGCTATATTTTTGTCAAATTAAGGTCTATAAGTTTGAACGTTTATTTTTTTAGTCCATCAGACCCGGAAAAACAATACAAATTTCTACACACATTCCCAAACACCGAAATATAGCGAGCGCTATATTTTTGTCAAATTAAGGTCTATAAGTTTGAACGTTTATTTTTTTAGTCCATCAGACCTGGAGAAACAAAACAAATTTCTAC